GTCTTAATGGTGAGTCTGCCCTTGCTTATTGTTGACATAAACAAACGATGACGACCACGACTAGGCAATTATCAGAACGTGTAAACAGCAAACGTGCATAAACATTTGGGGGAATCCATTTTTCATTTTGTCTGATAAGATAGGACTACTACTACTACTAACAGTCCCACCAAATTGGGTGACTGAACTTGCCACTGCTTTAGCGTGTGTGCAACTTTTTGCTTTCATGACACTATTTGTGACACTAATTTATTTGCTGTTATCACTTTAGATCTCGTTATTGAAAACAATCCATTCGAGTGCAGTTGCGCCACCGGCAGGTGGATTCAAAGTTTAGTCAACCAGAAGAACAACATCCTCGGCCCGTACTGGGCCGACGTGACCTGCATTGACGAGCGGAAGGTCAAACGATCGCTGGCCAACTTGACCGTAACCGCCTGCAGTGAGTACCACTGTTTCATTTGGGTTCTATTTCATTGTTCTAACATCCAATTCAACAGCTTTCCCAGTGACAAACATTGAACCACATGAGCAGATCACAGTGATGGAGGGCCAAGTGATTGTGCTGACGTGCAACGCTACCGCTTCGCCTATTCCAAGGTCAGTGTTTGTCTGTCTTTTATAATCTCTTTTATCTCTAACCGTCATCATATTTCTCTCTGTATCTTCTGCATCTCAGTATCTTCTGGAACACGAGCACACTCAAGTCAAATTACAGCCTCATGGAGATCTCTCAAGTGATTATCGAGCCATCCTCATCAGGCAAAGCCACCTCCACCCAGCCGTTGACGACGATGTACCTCGTCAGCCAGGTCCTTCGCATCGACCGGGCTGAAATTGAAGACAACGACCGGATCTACTGTCAAGCGGAGAACGACGTCGGCAAGGCGACCTCTTCAGTGGAGATTGTCGTTCACTGTAAGTGTGCTTGATTCTGTAGTTTACAAATAATCAAAATCTGTAACTTCACCTCTACAGCCGAGCCGAAGATCGTGGAGCTGGTGCTGCAGCGCAAGTTCTATCTGTGCATCATCTTCCGCATCAAGGGAATTCCCTACGCGAACACCACCTGGCTGAAAGACGGCAAACCGCTGGTGATCTCCAACGAGCATTACAAGCACTACACCATTCCTACGCAGGGCGCTCAGGCCGATGGTAAGCATTCTGAGGAGAGAAAGAGAGTGAGAGAGAGGATTCTTGCTCAGACAGCTCGTTCCTCTCTCTTTCTCGGGGGGGTATAATGTGATAACAATGATCACCTTACAGTTAAATCACTTCTACTAGGCTACCTTGAAATACACAAGGACTCGGCGAACAACAATGGCCTGTACACGCTGGTGGCGACGAACGTCTACGGGCGAGCCGAGCGCTCCATAAATGTGACCTTTAATCAAGGTAATAAAAATAGTAGCTCACTCACTCAGCTGCTTCATTTCAATTAGCTAAATAATTAATTGGCCAAGTGGTGCTTGCAAATGAATACTAATGCGCTCTGTTGTTGTTTTTTTATTTCTATTTTGTTTCGGCCACCATGTTTAGAAATCATCTACCCAGTGACAAACATACCGGGAATCGGCCACTTTCCAAAGGTGCCACCACTGCCGAACCACCTCTCTGGTGGTGGTGGGAAGTTGCCCAACTCACTGATGCCGATGATGCCCAACGGGCCGAATGACTTTCCTCTGAACATGGAGGAGATTGACGATGGCACGGTGCTCAGTGGAGGTGGTGGTCCACATGCTGACGACCAAAGGGACAAAGAGGGTTCGTCCTCCTTTACCTCCGGTCTTCTACTGAACACCATCTTCATCGCCGTCGTCCTCGTCATCGGCGTCGTCATTCTGGCCGTTTTCTACCGAGGATCGGGTGTTAAGAAAACCAATAACAACAGCGCCAGCAGTCCTTCTGGCTCTCCGGCAAAAAGCAGCAGCAATGGCGGCAGCAGTGGAAATCATCGCCAGAATGGCCGCACCAGAGTGCATGGCTCCTGGGAGTCTGGTATTGACAGCAATCACAACAACCGAGCACGGGAGCAGGCGATGCTGCCGGTGCGCCTCTTCACCGGCATGACCAATTGGTTCAATCGGAAGAAGCGGCTTTTTCACGCCCGGCGCGGGCGTCGCTCGGCGCAGAATAGCCGCCTGCCGAATCAGCCCAAGACGAGGGCGATGTTCTACTACAAAAATGGCCGGGCAGCAGCTGCTTTGGCCAGTGGTGGCAATGGCTCAACGGGGGGTGAAAACAACTCCTCCACTGGAACCCATTGGTCCTTTGGGAGCAACGGCTCTCGGCAGCACTCTACCGGAAGTCCCACCGACCAGGAGGCTACGGCGGCGCTCATCTCCGCACACCACATCACCGGAAATCAGCGTCTGCCGCCCATCAGTCTGGTCTCCAATCCGAACTACTTCTCTGAGGCGGAGCAGCACCTGCTGGAGAATTCATGTAAGTATATAAGTTTCAGTTGTACACCTGTTCTAAATTCTAATTCGCCTCATTTGCAGCCATTTGCCATATCAGCAATGAGAAAATTAGCTTCATCAAGGAGCTTGGCGAGGGCGCTTTTGGTCGCGTCTTCCTCGGCATCGTCGACTACCTGACGGCGGAAGAGCCTACGACCATGGTGGCCATCAAAATGCTCAAGGAGACGCACGGCTCGAGAACAGAGCTGCGAGCGGAATTCTCCCGCGAAGCGGAACTGCTCGCCAATCTCATCTCGCCGAACATTGTCACCTTCTATGGGATCTCCCTCGACGGTGCCCACCTGATGATGATCTTCGAGTACATGGAGTACGGCGATTTGAACAACTTTCTCCGGTCGAGGGCCGATCAGCGTGATCCGTTTAATGCGGTGCTGAACAAGCCAACGGAGCAAACGGCCACCATAAACAACAATGTCAACAATGGAAACTCTGCAGAGTCGACCACCTCAGGGAAAAGTTACCTAAGCGACCGAGAGCGGTATCGGGTGCTGCAGCTACTGGACCTGCTGCACATTGCCACGCAGATCGCCGCCGGCATGGAGTACCTGGCCAGCCAGCGCTTCGTCCACCGAGACCTGGCCACGCGCAACTGCCTGGTCGGCCTCGATCTGGTGACGAAGATTGGCGACTTTGGCATGTCACGTGACGTCTACGCCACGGACTACTACAGGGTAAATGAGGTGCACATCATCATTTACTATGATTACTTAGTGTTTGGCGAGCAGCAAACTAAGAGAAAGAGAGGTCAACTGACCGCATTTTTTTGTTTACACAGGTCGGCCGAGACGTGCTGCTGCCCATTCGGTGGATGTCACCGGAGAGCATCATGTACCGCAAGTACACCATCGAGAGCGACTGCTGGAGCTTTGGCATTCTCCTCTGGGTACGTTTAATATGAACAGCAGGTAATAAAAACAGTCAGTTTAACCTACATGTTCAATATTGACAGGAGGTGCTGACGTACGGAAAGCAGCCCTGGTTCGAGTACAACAACCTCGAGGTGATTCAAAATGTGACTCGAGGGCGGCAGCTGACGGCGCCCGACAACTGTCCGCCGGCGCTGGTGGAGCTGATGCAGGCCTGCTGGCAGTTTAACCCCACCGACCGGATACCCATCGCCAAGGTGCACCTTCGGCTACAGCACCTCATGGAGCAGCACCGGAACGGGCTGCTGCCGCTGGCGGCGGACAGTAGCACCAGCAACGGTAGCAACAGTTCCACCACTGGTGGCAACGATCAACAGAGCAGGGAACCGAGTGTGCCGAGAAAGAAGAAGGCAGCTATTTCTCCTCCCGCAAAGGAGAACTCCACAGTTTCTCCGGTTTTGCTGCCAACAGATCCACTACCACCACCCTCGGGCCCGTCGTCGCCTGAAGAGCTGCCAGTGTCGAGCTGCACTGCAACTGGGGATAAAAGCAGCACCGACTCTGCCGAGCCCTACCTCGAGCTGAGCCACTGAGAGTGTGTTGAGCAAAGGTCTGGAGAGCAGTCTACCAATAACAAAGGTGGACTGCCATAAAACAAACAACAGTATTACACAAATCTATCGTCGCGACAATCGTACAGCTAGAAAGAAGAAGAAGGAGAAGGTTTTTCGATGTGTCACTCCATCCAAATCCAAACCACCATCATCACACAACCATTCCTCACCACACCTGTAATATAATAAAACAATGTATTTTTGTTATGGTATAATAAAACAAATCACTACTTTGCATTACGACATCCGACCATTACGCCTGTACGTTCAAAAGTCTGAACATCGTCCTTTGCGCTCCCAGTCGCCGTACCTGGTCGGTTCTGGCCCGGTAGGGCCTTTCACTTCGCCAGTACTGGGATTGGTGTTATTGGGAAAGGGAGCAAAGGCGACGGCCTCAACGTCGATGACATTTGTTTGCCCTTCAACTGCAGCGGCAGCGGCGGCACTCTCGGCAACGGCGTTCGGATCAGTGCCTGGAGAGCGGTCCAGTATGCCGATGGGCGAGTTGGGGGAGAGCATTTGCTGAGCTTCCACCTCGGCTATTCGCTGGCGGGCACGCTCTCGCAGGTCATCTGAGGTCGAAGACGGAGGTTTGGAGGAGGAGGAGGAGGATGAGGAGGATGAAGAGGCGAAACACTTGCTCCCGATGAGCTCATTTGTTTGCTGCTGAGAAAGGGCTGTAGAGCTGAGCTTCAAGCAGGGATGCAGGTGTCGCCGCAGCAAAGTCGACAGAAGGATGCTCATGATGTTTTCCGGTGTTGATCAATGTCCTCTTCCGGTGAAGTGCGTCGTCCGAGATGAGTTCCCAAAACTGCCAAACTAAAAGAGTACAAACCAAAACAGTGCCCCCGTTCTCACATGGCAAGTGAACGAGCGGCAACAAAAACACCGTGTAGCGCACCATTCATATACATAATGTAATTTTATAATCTTCCCCGTTGTTGAAACATTACAGAAGTTGTTGTGTGGTTGTTAGACAAAACGACAAATGACAATAGTGTATTAAATGTAAATATTAGTGGGTAAACCAGACCAGTTCACTTCTTGCTAGGGTTACGGTCATTGCGACGCCCAGGGCGGTCAGCGCGCTGCTCGGAAGTACGCTCAGTGCGTTGTTGGGGCGGCTGCTGCTGCTGCGTCTGCTGAGGTTGTTCAGTTCGCTCTGAGGTTCGATCGGCACGCGGCTCAGCGCGTTCAGAAGTTCGCTCGGGGCGATCAGTGCGTGCCTGCTGCTGTTGTTCATGGCCTTCCGAACTTTGATCCTCTCGACGTTCCGGGCGCTCAGTTCGTTCCGGGCGTTCAGTTCGCTCGGGGCGTTCAGTTCGCTCCGGGCGCTCAGCTCTTTCTGGGCGTTCGCCTCGGTCCGGGCGTTCACCGCGATTAGAGCGTTCCGGACGCTCGGCGCGTTCCTGGCGTTCCGCACGCTCAGGACGTTCACCCCGTTCAGGGCGCTCTCGGTCGCTGCTGCTGTTATTGTTGCTTTTCGGCTCCCGATCACGATCACCACCACCATTGTTGCGACCGCCAGAAAATTGGCCTGTGATGGAGCGTCCTCGGTGAGATTCAGGTGGTCCGTTGGAAAGGGAAGGGCCGTTGGCCGGTCTACGAGAGTCTCTGTAGTCGCCGCCACCACCGCCGCCGCGTCGAGGCTCAGCCTGATCGCGTCCACGGTCAGATCTTCCGCGAGAAATGTCGTGCATTCGTCCGCGTGGCGCCATGCCACGGCCGCCGCCTCGCATTCCCTGTGGAATGGCATGCATGTAGCCCATTCCATACTCGCCACTGCCGTTGCCCATGTGCTGCGAGCTGATGGTCATTGATTGTTGCTGCCGAAGCTTGTTGACAATCTCCGTCTTCTCCTGCCGCAGCTTGTCCACCTCTTGCAAGTGGTGCATGTGATACTCAAGAAGAATTTGAGCATTCTGCACCGACTCCAACGTGCCGACAAAGACGAAAGGCACTATGTCCCTGGGCGCCTCGTTCTCCTGGTCACCTTCGATTTTGACTCGAATCACGCCCGACTTGTCGACAATCTCCTGGATGATGCGCCCATTGCGGCCGATGGTCTTTCCGACAAGCGAACGCGGAATATCGATGCTTCGGTCGGCAAACTCGAGAAGGGCGCGCGCCTTGTGAAGCCCTTCGATCGTCTGACTGCGAACGAGGAATGCGCTGGGCGAGTCGTGATTGGAGTTGAGAATTTCAATGGCCACAATGCCCTCGATCTTGCGAGCATTCTGAATGTTGGCGCCGTGGCTGCCAATAGCCAGGCCCATCAGGTGCTCAGGCACCAAAATGCGAGTCTCGTAGAGGCCGTGACTGTTGGTGTTGGTGACTCGAGAGGAGGTCTTTGACAGCTGCTTGGCCGCCTCCTCGGCATCACTCAGAAGAAGTAGCTTCTGTCTCAAGTTTCGGAAATGCATTTCAGAGAGCATGGTGGCGCGACTGGCAACCTTTGAGGCGATGAAGCTCTTCTCGATAGCATTTTGCGCGTAGCCAATCACTATGAGAACGTCCTTGGCTTCATCGTAACGAACTACAATGGCGCCTAGTGATTGCTTATAGTTACGGTGAGCCTCCTCCTTGTGCATCCAGCCGCGATTTAGGGAGCGAAAATCTGCCGGAACTGGAATTTCGATGCGAAAAAACGGGCTCACAGTGAGCGTGGGGTTAGGGTTTTTTTGTCGAATATCATCGTGTGGAATAATTTCGGTATGCGTCTGAATGCTGGCCACCTGACCAGAGGAGACGGGGGAAGTGGAGTCGACGGTGTTAGACCCCTGCGAGACGTACTCGACAACGCAAAAGCCGCCTGCAAAGAGTGAACTAGTGTTACCATTGGGTGAACAAGGCTAACGAAAAAGACTATCCCCTACCTTTCATCATCTTGATAATTGCACGCCACCAGCCACGAGGCTGGTCTTTGATGGTGCAAGAGGAAAGGACCTCTACCTCCATGCCGGGGGAAAAAATTGACTCGTCGATGCTACCACCATTGCTGTTAGCTGCCATGTTGTTTGGCTGAGAGTTTGGTGCCGCATTTTGTAAGTTATTCGAGATTTGCACTGCAGAAACGCCGGCTTGAAGATTTTTGAGCGCTTCCTCTTGATTTTGAACTCCGTTTTTGCTGCCACCGCCCCCGGTGCTTGCGGGAGGAAGACGAATTCGCTGAATGGGAACTGTACTTTTGGGAAAGTTGTTGTTCTGAAATGTAACCGTAATCATCGAGGATTCGCCATTCGCCTGGCCATTGGCTGCACTTGGTTTTTCGGAAGTAGTGCCCGGATCACCGGCAATTGACAATTGTAGGTTGGGCGACGGCGTCGATTCAACGTCGTGAATGTACGCGTAGTAGAAAGCGCCATCCTCTCCTTGGACTTCGACCAGTCCGCTTTTTAGGAACTCCGGAGAGATGTTGTTGCTATCAAATATGTTCATTTTAACAACTGCAGGGAGGGAAAAACACGACAAAAACTAGTTAGACGAGGGTCAAATGTGTAAATAAATAAACAACGCCAAAGTGTCACTGACAAAATACTGCTACTCAATTAAGTAAAAGATCGAGGCGTCTACTGTTGTTCTTTCGAAGCACAGGTAAACTCGAGGTATACACAGAATAAATAGGAGATCAACAAATTAAGCAGAGAGAGAGAGAAAGTATCGGGGAAGGAGGTGAAAAGCAGTTCAGGGAAATCAAAGTCTGCCAGAACACAACAGAGAAGTCAAGTGCGCTCAGAGGCAGAGAGAAAGAGCGAGAGAAAGAGCGGCCACCACCAGAGAGAAAGGGAGCCGCGAGCACTTTCTATTTCATTGAGGCGATAGGGTGCACCTCTTCTGCGAGCGTCGCCAGAGCTAAACTGTACGGCGATTGAGTCAAGGCGGAGCCTGCTAGCACGCTGGCTGATGCGCTGGCTCAACTGCCGCACGCTGCCAAAGACCTGCCTTCTTTTTGGCGTTTTCGTGCGGCCAACGTTTGCCGGGTGCCGGGATCTGACAAAAAGAAATCTGACGGTAATCACTCCCTATTATTACCATTGACTACCATTGCTAAACACAGGGGGTTCCTTTCGGTGGAGAGATTATTTATGCACAACAAAATGGCTAGCAAGAGAGATCTGTCTGATTAAAATAGAAAGAACTCGACAAAGCAGAGGCGAACAACACTTGCGTTAACACTTTCTTTACTTCGAAATAGAACTCAAACTAAAAATAACAAGCTCATCGGCGAGAAGAGTAAATAGTAGATGATCGTAAAGGCTATTGAAATCGTTCGACTACCAATCGTTCACTCATTCTCTCTCTCTGAGAGAAGATATATGGAGCAATCATCTAGAAGATGCAACGAAATGAGCGAAATAAACGGCGTCGCCGACTTTCAGACGACTAGACGGACAGAACTCGCAGACAGGGATAGAATATGTAGTGCAATCAATTCAGTCAGTGGTGTGCAAGAATGTGCAAGTTAAAAATGGAGCCGTACAAGACGGAAGAGAATAGGAGAGCTGGAGAGGGAGAGAACTGCTAGTTGTCATGATAGCAAACAAGCAAAGGAGATTGCACGCCTGTGGTAGTCAACTTGATGATGATTAGCATAATGATCACATCTGACAGCAGATTGGGGTCTCTCGCTGTGTCTCATTGCACGACAACAACAAGAACCTAAACTGTGCAGTTAGCTTCAGTTAGACAGACCGAGAAGATCGGAGACAAAGGCAATCGGGCATAGATAAACAGAGAAAACATACCTTAAGATATACTTTATCGTAGATTTGAAGCAGCAGGCGGAAGACACAGCACTGCGTAGCGTCTCAGTCTAGGTGATCTCAGTGACTAGTTCAAAGTGGCGAAAACGCCGGATCAGCGCCGTGTGATACACGTTCTTGTCTGGAAGGGGGTGAAGGCTTTTATCTTCGCAGAGGGAGAAAGAATGAGACAGAGACAGAGGCAGAGCGAAAACGCACAGACGACAGCTAAACGCCAAATGACAGAGACACACGCCGAAAGGTGCATTCGCTGTTGGGCCATTGTCTCCCGACAGTGGCGCCACATGCCACCCCAACACATCAAGAGCGCATCCGAAACAGAGGTGTGCTTTTTTATTTTACTGATTGATCGATTGAATGAGATAAGAGATTAGGGCCCATATGAAAGGTAAATGGAATAGTGAAGCAAATGTAAGATCAATGCAGCCATTCTCTACGCTATGTCCATCTCAGAGGCGTCCACAAAGTGGTCCTCCCCTGCTCCTTCAGGTGACTTGCTGTTGTCCCCGTTGCTGCTGCTGCTGAACATGAACTCGGATTCGTACATTTTGATAAACTTATCAGACCGCTTGACGTCGACGAACAGTTGGTAGGCATTTCTGACGTCTTCCTTTTCAACTATGGCAGATTTTCGCTTCATTGCCAGTATCTGCGATGATATGATAAGCTGACAGGCGTATCTGTGTGGTTTCGATAAGATTTACAAAAGTGTTAGTATTTCCCACTACAGTCTCAAGTACAATCACCTTACCTTAGGCTAGTTTCATCGGCAATTTTCGAGAGGATAGGGATTACATCCTTATGTACACTGACGTCCTCCTCTTCAGCTCTGATCCTGAGGATGGTCGCCAGTTCATTTTGAGTATAGGGTGTAGTGCGAATGATGACCAGCCGATCGAGAAAATCGGAAGGAAAGCCGTGCGGTGACTTGTAGTTGGTGCCGCGAATTTTGGTGATGCCTCGATTGGTGGCCAGCACGAGAATGGGCGCAAAGACCGACTCGAGGGCTCGGTTCAGAAAGGAGAAGCACTCAATGTCGAGCATGTGCGCCTCGTCGATGAAGAGCACGCCCGGGCGAATGTTCGCCTTGCCCTCCTCTCGCCACTCGGACAGCTTGGCGTTCACCTTCTCGCGAATCTCCGGCTTGATTTCGCCCGTGTCGCCGGAGAAGAGCGCCAGAAAGCCCTGCTGGCGGGAGTTGATGACGTCAATCTCGTGCAGGCTGACGTTGTGGCAGATGGTCTCCCGTCGGGTGATCTCCCCGTCAGGACACTGAATGAACTTCAGCGTCGGTCCCATGGCGTCAAAGTCCTGCGCGCGGGTAAAGTTTCGCCCCAGCTTGGTGACGCTGCCGTCGGCCTTGTTGATGGAGATGATGTCGCCGGCGGAGACTTTCTCCTTTCTCAGGTTGTCCAGCATCTTCGTGCCCAGCTCAAAGACCGTCTCCATGCTGGTGGTCTTCAGGGTCACCTTTCCCGTGCGGACGTTCTTCACTGGATCATCGCGGTCGATTATGATCTCCACCACTTCGCCTTGCAAGACGTCCGTCTCTTCGCGAATCTCAATGGTGATGGCCTTTCGGAATGCCTGCTGCAACGCCTCCGACTTTGACATGTCAAGTGAAAATATTTCCGAGGCAGACATCGAAATAAAGGGAATGCTGACGTCTAGCGCCTTTGAGATGCCAGTGGCGATGGCCGTTTTTCCAGTGCCCGGCTGGCCGGCAATCAGAATGGATCGACCTGCAAGTTTGCCCTCCTTGATCATCTGCACGATGATGCCAGCGGCTTTTCGGGCAGCAAGCTGACCCACCATGCCATCAGCTATCTAAATTAGAAGTAAACAAAAGGTAAAGTGTTAGCGATCGGATTTCCTGATGTCAGATTTGAGAACACTCTCTGGCAAACCTCTTTTGGCTTCAGCGTATCATCAAGTCCGAGTCCGTGAATGTGCGAGTGAGCACCGGTGCGCTCCAGCTTGAGCACCACCTCGCTGATGATCTGATTAGCGTCACAGGCTTCGTCCATTTTTTAGGTAGGTGGTAAGAAAGGGGTGAACTGGTCTTTCGAAAGTCAATTCTCTTGATGATCAAAACTTCCACAGGCTTTGTTTTGGCTCCACTTTCAGCGGCACAGTGCGTTTTTCTTTGAAAGCAAAAAAATATCGGCATGTTCGAATACGTCCGTAGAAGACGTGCTCAATTCGAATTTTTGTAGAAGCTGTGTTTTACCTGCGCATATGTAAGCAAGCACTTTGTCAGGTGAATCAATTGTACTTTTTTTTGTTCAACGCAGCAATGTTCACGTTAACTCTTCTTTTCGGTTATGGTTTTCTAATCTCTTGGTGCAATGTTGCCCACTCAAAAGGTCATCGAAAGGGCCACAAGGACTACGACGAGGAGGAGGAGGAGTTCAATTTTGACCACTGGATAGAGACTACAAAGCCGTCCACTTCGGCGGGAGTGATACTGCCGTCGCTGGTGATTGGGCTCATCGTCGTGGCCGGTCTTGTTTTGCTATTCAAGAGTGGCGTCCTCTGCTCCTCTGCTAAAAAACCACCACCAGCTGCAGCCGTTAATGCAGAGGGAAAAGTAGGAGGAGGCGAAGGAGTTGAAGGTGATGAGGAAGGCCCCGAGGAGCAGATCAACCTGATACTCTGCCACGAGGACAAGGCCAAGTTCGAGTACGTGCTCATCCTGCGCGTCGGCTGCCCGACGCCCAATTTTGACATGAAGAAGGGCTACATTGACCTAGATCTTCTCGACCGGCAAGATGACTTGCTGGGCAACCAGGTGCGCTTCAAGTGCTCCCTTCTGAAGGACCCCATCTGCGGGGAGATGCACATGCTGATCGGCAGTCTGAAGCCGCTCAGCAGCAGTGGGCGGAACCGAATTTCGGGAATTCGAGTTTCTCATGGGGATCCCTTCGGCAGCATCTTCCTCTACGAGTACGTGCTGGTGAACGCGGCGGATGACGCAATCATCGAGGTGCGTCGCTTCAACACCTACATCACCCGGCGGCATGTCATCTACCGCGGCGTGCCCGTTGAGGACTTTGACGACCGCAACGAGGCGGAGGGCATGAATTTCCCCGAGCTGCCGCAGGTTCTTCTGACCAGCTTTGAGGCGCTGGTCATCGTCTCGCTGGTCATCATTCTGGCCGGCTCGCTGGTGATGGCCTTCGAGTACTACAACTGGTACCCGGTCAACCAGCAGCAGGACGGCTCGCTGTTCCGGTCGCTGCTAGACGTCCTCTTCATCACCGTTATCCTCTCGCCGCTGGGGATGATTGTCCTCATCTTCAAGTTCTACATCAAAAAGTGAGTTTTGTTTCAACTTTTGAAAGCTTTTCTTTATAACCGAATCTGCTGTTTAGAAATCTGCTAATGCACGAGTACAGCCTCAACGAGGAGGAGGCGAATGTGCAGCACTGGCGGTGCCTCAGCCAGACGGCGCTCGGCTTCATGACCACCACCACACTGGCCCTCAGCGCCATTCTAGTGATCTATGGCCGGCAGATCTCCTTCACCAAGTCGACGTACTGGTTCAGCAGCACGCTGATCATCTCCACGCTCCTCGTGGGCACCTGGCTGACGCTGAACGACTGGATCTGGTTCCTCAGCTTCTTCGAGAACGAGTCGCAGGTGGTGGTGGCGGCGATGTTGGACCGAAAGCGGGAGAGCGCTATGCGCCGCTTCTACGCCAGCCACAGTCGAACGCGGAAGATGCGCAACAAGACGATCTTCTTCTCGCAGCGCTTCACGCGGCGCATTCCCACGCGCAGCTCCTCAAATGCTCGCTCCATCGGCCCGAAGCTGGTCAACCCGAGGCTGATGAACAACAAGCGGAAGCAGGCGAAGCAGACGACCAAAGGAGGCGCTAAAGTGCCTAAAATGAGCTTGAGCAAAGACCCGAAGACGGTCTCCAGTCAGGGAAAGAAGGTGGTCAAGTCAACGCAGAAGTCAAAGCAGCAGCAGCACCCGCTCAGCTCTAGCAAGAGGAGCAATAAACAGCTGGCAACTGGCAAATTTAAAAAGTCCACTTCCAACAGTAAGTTTTTTTTCTGGTTCAGGTTCACATTTATGACAACCAAAGTTTATTTTGTAGAAGGCAAATCCAAATCGACTTCAAAGAACTCCCGGCGGAAACCCGGCTCTTCGCAGACTGATACTCACTCTAAACTGCTCAAGTCATGATTAAAGTAGTGGTGATTTTATTTTGGGTCATCTTTAAAGGCAAAAGGGAATATAGTGTTTGGAAATGATCCTGATCCTCAATCATGCTGGTGTAGTACCAAACTGGCAAAACTAAGTCTTCTACTGATAATGACAAATGCCCAGTTTTATTTAGCGACAGCGAGTGCGCTGTGCAGAGTGCCTCCATCGACCACCAGATTGCTGCCGGTGATGTACTTGGCGTCATTGGAACACACAAAGATGACCATGTCGGCAATGTCCGTCGGCTCACCGAGCAGGTTGATCGGCGAGGAGCTGCGCAGCATTTCCTCCTGCGCCGCCACCTGCTCCTTGGTCATGCCAATGGCGTTGAAGAAGTTCGACTTGACGCCACCGGAGCTGAATTGAAAAAAAATTTTAAAATTGAGATTGTTGTTTACCTTATGTTTTGAAGCATCACTCACTTGATTGAGTTCACACGAACGCCGCTTGGCCCCAACTCCAGTGCAATGCACTTGGTGAACTGTTTGAGAAGGAAACATTTTCAATCAAATTGTACAAAAACTTTTTAACCATTCTTACCATGTCAACTGATGCCTTTGCCATGCAGTACGCGTAGAAGCCAGCGAGCTGAGGAGAAAGCAGAAAAATAATAAGTTTTAAAACCCTATTTTTTGCCGCTCCTTTTCAACTGACCGGTTTTAGCCCACAAATCGAGGAAATGTTGACAATGTTGCCCTTGGACTCGATCAGATGGGGCGTCGCCATCAAGGTGACGTTGACGACGGAGCGAACGTCCAGACTGCTGACCTTGTCAAAGTTGGTCAGCGACTGCGGATCGAGAACGGAGGTGATCAGCGCAAAACCGGCATTGTTCACCAGCACATCGAGGCGGCCGAAGCGGTCGACGCAGTCCTTCACCAAACGCTTGGCGTCCGCTTCGATGGTCAGGTCGGCGATCACTTCTTGAGGCTGAAAAGTTAAAGAGTTAAAAGTTTACCTTTTAAAGGTGAAACAAAATCAACCGACTCTAATTTTGTAGGGCGATATTTGGTAGCAGGCGGCGGCCACTCGAGCCACATTGTCGGCATTACGCCCCGTGACGGTGACATTGGCGCCGTACTCGGCGAAACGCTTGGCAATCGCCTCGCCGATGCCCGACGACGACCCGGTGACCAGAACGGACTTGCCAGTGAAATTGTACTTCATTCTTCTTGAGGATCACAACTGCAAATGACGACGGCTGGTTGGCTCGTTAAATTAAATCGTTTTTTCGTTGTTTTTTGCAGCCACCGATCAAGTACATGAGACAAGAAGAAACAAACAAAAACAAGTCCACTTGGTTGTGTTTTGCAAATGCTCTGCTTCAAATCGATAGACAGATGCTGCAACCTCAGTGGCGGCAATCGATTCAGCCTAAATGTGGTGGCCTTCAACGGCAACTGTGTACAATCACAAAGAGTGAAGCTTTGGCCGCCCCTGACCGGTAACGTGAAAGAGAGGGAAAAGACCGACACAAGTTAACTGCAAATTGGAGTAAGCAAGGAAGGTGTGCTTTTATCTAGTAGTATAATATAATAATCTAAACTACAAACAGTGCGTGGGGACAATCGTCATCGAGGCTGAGCAGATGATGAGATAGAGGCGTCTTTGGCACGCCTCGCAAAGTGCTGTGACGCGAGCAAAAGGAAACAACTCTTCTACTGTTTTGTGCTTCCCTGTTTAGTGCTCTTAGTGTTTGCCTTGCCACTTTTTCCGCTCTTCGGCGCCGTCTTCTTGGTCTTGGTTTTTGTCTTCGGTTTGCTGCTCTTCTTGCTGCTCTTGCTCTTGCTCTGCTTCGAAATCTCCTCCTGTGGCTGCTCGGACTTCACCGGCGCCTGAGCCTGCGGCTTCTTCGCCTTCTTTGCAAACTTTTCCAGCGGCTTCTTGAAGCCCTCCAGGTTGCCCTCCGCCAGCTCGAAACCCTTTCTGGTGAACTGCAGGTGGGTGAGAGCCTCGGAGAGCGACAGGTCGGTGTACTTGCAGAGGTAGCCTGCGGAGAGGGCCATGCTGTTCAGATTGCCGTCGTGGCAGAAGATCACCGTCTGCCCGTTCTTCAGGTAGTTCTCGTGGATCTTGTCGGCCACGTCGGAGACGTACAGCGACAGCGACTCGGGCTCCAGCTCGGAGATGGGCACGCGCAGCGACTCACAACCGCCCACCTCGACCATGGGCAGGTCGATGGAGGCATTGAGCAGTAGGTTGACTTTGTAGTTCTTCAGCGTCTTCGCCTTCAGCCCGCCCAGGCTAGTGACGTAGAGATTTTGGATGATCTTCGTGGTGACGATGTTGTCACTGTTCACCGAGGTTCGCTCCACCAGCTCGGCGTCGAAGTTCTTCTCGATGTACACCTTCAGCTTGGAGAGCGGCACCTTGTCCTGGTTGATGGGGTTCTTGCCCTTCTTCGTCTTGGTCAGGTTCTGGTCTTTGATCAGCGGTGCATCGTTCGCCAGCTTGACGTGCTGCGCGCTGCTAATGGAGAAGGGTCGCATGAAGCGAGACTCGGCTTTGATGTTGTTCTCATTTGAGTAGCCGTCGCCATCGCTGCCGCCTCCGCCGCAGAGGCCTCCCAGGCATGACCACTTTAGCAGCGACTTGGTTTTCAAAAGTTGTCGGTGCATTCTGCTGATGCAAAGAGGGAAGGTAAGCAGTGACACGTACACTGAAACAGTAGTGGGAGATGGTAATGCAAGTCAAAGAATGGGTAAAAGTTGTGTTGAAGGTCGAGGTTTTATAACGGTCCTGTTTGTAAAGACTAGAAGATCGAACTTTGAGCAACACCACAACACACACAAAATGTAATAAAGGTTTATTTGCCGGTTACATATACAGGCAGAACTCACAGTACGGACGCGCCAGCAAGTACGGACGCTGACAACGCCATCTCGTTTAGTAAAGCAGTTTATTCAATTTTTCTATGCAAAAACATTAGCGTCTGTTGAGACAAAAGGAGCGTTTTATGTCAACATAGACGCTGGCGCCCGCAAGTAGACTGATTGTTTGGCCGGATTTGAAAAAAGTTATGATGCACTGTTACTGTGCTAAACAAATAACACAGTCGTAAACGTAAGGATAAACGCCGTCCTTTGTATTATATCACAGTACAGAGGGGCCACAACAAATTCATAACTTTTTTCAAATCCGGCCAAACAGTCAGACTACCCGCAAGTACGGATGAAAATGCGATACAGATTTTGTCCGTACAGTGAGTTTTGCCTGTAATAGTAAAGTTGGCAGAAAATTAAAGTATTGAGACAATAAAGTGGAGAAAAAATAGTGCATGAAAAAAGGTAATACAAAAATAGCATAGGCTGGAATTGGCAAGAAGAATTTCTTCATTGTCCAAATGCTCTCTTAGCCTCGTTTGGCGCCATCAAAGGCCAGGCGATCGGCCATCTCGTTGCCATGGTCGCCACTGTGAGCCGGGACCTTCTCAAACTTGACGTCGATCCCTTTCATGGCATCCTTTAGAGCCATAAAATCGTTTTTGTTCTTAACCTCGCCGCCTGTAGATAGCTGCCATCTAGAAAGTAGAATAGAAGGGGTTATATTTTAATAACTACCTTGAAAATGCAAAGAAAAGTCTCACCCATTCTGGCTCCACTTCTTGCTCCAGCCAACGCCATTGATCAGAAACTCACTGTCAGTACGAACTGTGACTTCTTTGTAGCCTCGAGCCTTGGCCTGGTTGATTGCCTCACTAGCAGCCTGAATTTCCGCTCGATTGTTGGTCTGCTTTCCCTGCAGCGGTCGAGAGACATTGTCCGGGTGGTTGGGTCCCCAATAGATTCCCACTCCTACAAAATAAATCGGTAGAACAACGGAATAATAACAACACTAAACTGATAACTTACCACCTTTAGCTCCAGCTCGGCCGTTATCAGTGCAGGCACCGTCTGCCATAAAAAAAGTGCAACATGCTATTACATGGAACACTGCATAAAGTTTTCTTACCAGTGTAAACGACCGGACGGTCCGAGTAACGGGAGCTACTTGAAGCCGAGTTGTAGCCAGATTCCTGGCGCGCAGGTGAGCTGACGCAATAGCCGGTACGAGCAACTTGAGGGTACCCTCCTGAAGACGAGTTTCGGTTGTCCGAATAGCCACCGGAATACCCACCGGAGTAAACGCCAGAGTAGCCACCGGAGTAGCCTCCACCTCCTCCACCATTTCCTCCACGGTTGCCACCTCCACTGCTGCAGAACGCATTGGCCTCGCTCATGGTGCTGAACTTCTTGAACTGGGCGTTCTGGTAGCCCTTCACCTGCGACTCACACTCCGACCAGGAGTTGTAGACGCCCGGGTTCTTTCCGTTGGCCACGGCGTAGTACGGCATTTTCGAGAGGGAGATAAGTTGCTGAAAAGCGTGACAAAGCTTGTGTGAGGGTTAGAAGATTGCGTATAGAGCTACTGACCAGCAGTACCTGTGAACTGATATACGAAGGTGGACACAAGTCTTGACGCAAATCAGAGTACGAAGATCAAACTGAGCTGCGACCGTTAAGCAGAGCACTCTAACCACGAATGAATAGGCTGATAGCAAAACTGCGCATCAAATACAGCAAAGAGAACAACAATGAAAGAAGAAGAAAACACGAGTTCCACTGGCAAAGGGGCGCCACAGCGCAAGTGCAGTGAAAAAGCGGGTTTGCTTTGCTATCTCTGGCTTCACTTTCAGTGTAGCATTTTTCTGGATTTGCCCCCCCCCCC